TTTATTTAAAGTTCTACCCTAATGCCAAGGCAGAAGCAGCTAATTTAAGAGATGTCAGAAAAAAATATCAAGTCCAATTAAAACTTATCTCCTCTTACTGTGTACAAAGGAAAGTAATAAGGATTGGACATAGGCCAAGCTGAAACCTTTCCAGTTTGAAGACTGTATTTTTCTTTCCAGAAAATGTTTTCACAGATTTATCTCCTGGAAAAATGGATTATTTCTAGGAGAATCACAACACTGTCATACCTCCTCCCCCTTTTTTTAATGCATCTTTCATGGTTAACTTAGATGTCAAAAGAAAATAGCTCAAAAATAAAGTATGGATTAACTTCCCCCTCTGTTTTAATATTTAAAAGGTTTCTCTTATGTGCTTTGTGTATTAATTTCAACATGAATCAATTTTTTTGCCTTTTTTTGGCTTGAGTTCCTCCCTACTTGCAACACATGTTTTAAGAGTTCTATCAGCTCAGAGTAGTAGTAAATTCAAGTATTATCAGTGGGAAGGGAGACTGTGCAGCCAAAGAAGTTTCAGGCTATGGCTCTGCTAAAAAGGGCTCTGAGCCTGTGAGTTCTGATTCTCTGCTGTAACTGCTCCTGGAATAAAGGTTTAGTTATGGACTTCATTGTATCTATACAGTAGCTTACACTCTAAATCCTGATTTATTATTTGCAAAAAAATCTTATTAAAATTACTAAAAAGACCTCACACCACACTGTAGCTCCACATTAACATGGCCTGATTTGCTCTGCCAATATTCAGTAGGAATCCATGGTGCCAAACCAGAACCTTCCAAACAAATATGCTGCACTTTGTCATGTCTGACAAGAAAAACACAGATAAGGAGAAAGATAGCACACATGGGCAGTTCAGCCATTTTCCTCAGTCCAGAGGGAACAGCATCCCTGCTCCAGGCTGTCCTGAGCCTCAGCTCCGTGTGCAGCCACAGTAACTGGCAAATCAGAAATAAAGCACATGGTAACCTCTCTCAATGGTGACAGCTTGCAGCATAAACAGGAAAGCATCACCAAACAGCCTCTGTCACTTGGAACAGCTCTGGGAGGGTCTGTGCAGAGATCTGAGGGTGGAAAGTGCAGATGTTAACCCAGAGATGACCACAGGCAGGGAAGTGTGATCTGGATTAACCTCTGAGCAATGGGCAGATCAGGATACACCACCAGGACAGGCCCTGTGTATTGTGGGTATTGTGGAACTGGTAAAATGCAGCTGACAGGGGAAATTTACCCTATTACCTTATTTTATAACCCAAACCCATATATGACATTTATTTCAGTGATAATCACAAAGTGACAAATAAACCTGCTGTGTGCAAAAAAAATCTACCAACACAAAAGCAGCACCTGAAGAAAGGACAGACCCTTTCTTGAACCTAACAAGAAGAATTCTCTCAGTTTTTCCAGTGGAAAAGCAGCAAGCTCAGTTAGATTGCTACACTGCAAGTGTTCTGTTACAGATGCAAAACTTATTAAATCTGGAAAAGAACAATGACAGTGAAGCCAAGAACAAAGTGGAAATCCTTGACTCTGGCACTGCTTTTCAAGCTGATTTGTTTGAAGAATTCACAGTGAGAATCTGTATATTTTTAAGACACATTTCCAAGTCTTTCAAGACTAACTATAATAAACCCACTCATCTTTATGACTTGTACAAAAGACACAGCACAATGTAGTTTTGAACTGTTTATTTCACATATTCCATCCTGGAGTTTCTTCAGTTAAAAGTTCCTACAAGAAAATGAAATAAACATTGTTACAAATGAGTTTGTACTCAAGTAAATATCTCTGACCAACTGTGTAATCATCCTATAAATACAATGTACAGATTGTCCTCCTAAAAGCTGGATTTGGGAATGCAAGTTCCCCCTGCAGGAGTTAGAGGGTAAGATAAACATACGTACTTGGACACAATTCCATCATTTTTTGCCAGACGCAAAATGGAGTCATCTGATTCACCCTGTAAAGAGAGAAAAGGAAATATTTTCAAAGGAAATATTCTCAAAGGAAATATTCTCAAGTGCCCAGATAATTACTGACACATGTGGAAGCAAGAGAGGCAGCTGCAGCAGTTAGTGCAGACTAGTGTTTTCAAAATAAACTGTTTACTTTTTTGTCATCCTTATGCTATTACTGCATAAAAATATGCATTTGGATGAACAACAAATTTATGGGCAAGTGGACTTGTGATGAACTCATTTTGAAGTCAAGACAGTATCATCTCCAGTAATTATAAACAGATAAAAGCCAGAATTAGTACCTTGATACACATTCTTAAAAGAAAATCATTGGCATACTTTACTTTAAAAAAACAACAAACATCTCCAAAAGAAATTGATTATTCCAAGCAATCCAAGGCCCTGGCACAGGGTGCCCATTGAAGCTGTGGCTACCCAGTTCCTGTAAATTTCCAAGGCCAGGCTGGACAGGGCTTGAATAACCTGGGACAGTGGAAGGTGTCCCTGCCCACAGGAGGGGTGGAATGAGATCATCCCTAAGGTCCCTCCAAACCAAACCTTTGGTGATTCTGTGAATTTGTTCACGTGTTTACTCTGCCCCACAAACCCCTGTGGAAACACACTTCCCACAGTGTTTTCAGGGCCAGACACACAGCTAATTACTGACTAATGATCAGCAGCACAGCAGCTCTGCAGGTCAGCAAGGCACTCACCATTCTCCGGATGGGGCCGCAGATGGCGTAAGTCTTGAACTGGCCGTTCACCCTGCCTGTCACCTTGTCCACCTGCAATCACAGCAAAGTTTTACACTCTCACAGCACACTTGACAAGCACCCCAAAGTTAAAAACTGCAGAAAAATACTTGCAGTATTGAGAAAATAAACCACAAAACCTCAAGGCAAACACTGGAGTTAGAAAGTCAACTACAATGATCTTTGCACAGCAAATTTGTAGCTACATAGTGCAGCCATTAAATTTAGTGGATCACACAGATTGACAAGAGTAGTAGCTAAAAGAAAAAATATTTGAGTTCTGAACAAATGGAAAAGCTCTGTGTAAAGTAGATTTTCCAGCCTTTATTATTTTTTTTTGGTTTGTTTCTTTGAACTGAGGTCAATAATGGAAAATTGAACTGAAGAGGGAAAGGGACAGAGTTGTTACATGGGTAGGAAAATGTCCAAGCTGAGAGACAAACTGTCTCACTTTCTCAAGCTGCTGAGACATTTAAGAGGAAAAAGACTAAAACATATAAATCATGGATTTAAACACTGGAGTGAACCCTGCAATACCAATTGGGTTCATTTCTATGTTTTGCTAATCTCTGATACTTGAAAACAAGGAATAGGGATCAGAAGGGAATAGAGATCATTCACTGAAGGAGTGAAACATGGTGAACAAGAGAAGTACTTGACTTAACAATTGCAGGAAATCAGGATGGTTTTTTAAAGGTTTCTTTCTTTTTGGATGAGATAATTCAGGAGACTCAGATTTTTAAAAGATGTGGGGATGTGGTCTCCCATTCAAGAACCAAATCAAGCTCTGTAGCTCATAAGCTACAGGAGCACTGTGTCCAAAAAATTCTGAAAGCTGAATTTAATAAACAATTGGGGGAAAAAAACCCCAAATCATGCTACAAGGAGCTCAAATTAATTGGAACCCACATGTATTAACTGGGAACCTGCAGGAGTCAAGGTCTATTGTGACATTCTTTACTGAATTACTGAAGATACATCACAAGCTGTTTAATTCTGTAGCTTTTATCAGAAGTTTAAAGGTTTAGCTCTCCCATCACATGTCCTGTGGATAAACTTACCTCAGAAATGTTTATCTGAATAGAAGCATGATCCTTAGCACCAATGATTCGGTTGCTAGCAGAGCTGAGGAATGAAGCAGGACAGATTTAAACCAAAGGAAACAGGCAGTGACAATGACAAAGAAAGCTACTAGAGCCAATTCTACAGGCAAATTAATGCAAAAGTAAGTCAAAATAATTAATAAGATTAGTTCCTATGCCGTTTTTGCTGAAAGACACTACAGCTGTCAAAGACACTCAGGTTGGAAATGCTCAGGAATCACAGGCTGTAAACCATATTTAACTTAATCTAATAAAATTCATACAAGTGGCTTATTTTTAGTGACTTTTTAAACTAACAGCAAACTGATTTTTTCTTCTCCTACAGATATTCACTACTACAAAAAGCCCCTCTGCACAGGCTGCACAGGTGAGGGCTCTAGGGATGTTTTTGGGATGGATTTTGGGTATTTTGGTGGCCCCTCCAGCCCTGGCCGGCTCCTGGGTCCCTGCTCACCATTTCCGAGGGACATAAAGGTCCACGAACTCCCCAGCGTCGTTCTGCATCTCGCCCTGTTCCTGCTGAGGCACTGAGCAGAGACACCTGCCAGAATCATGGAATATCGCCGTTTGGAAGGGACCCACAAGGATCATGGAGTCCAAGGCCTGGCCCTGCACAGGCACCCCAAAAACCTCACCCTGGGCATCCCTGGCAGCGCTGCCCTAAGGCCCCTGGAGCTCTGGGGCCGTGCCCATCGCCCGGGATAGTGCCTGGTTCTGGGGAAAAACCTTTTCCCAAAACCCACCCTCACCCTCCCTGACTCAGCTCCAGCCTTTCCCTTGAGTCTCATCGGTGACCACAGCGACCAGAGCCGTGAGGTGATGCTGGAGCCCGGCCGGGCCCACGGGCTGCAGCCGAACCTCTCGGGCAGAGCCGTCCCCGCCCTCAGCACCGCTCCCGGCCCCGCTGCCCCGGCCCCCATCCCTCCTGCCGGCCCCGCTGCCCCGGCCCCCATCGCTCTCGCTGCCCTGACCCCCATGGTTCCGCCCGGCCCCGCTGCCTTCCCCAGCCCCGCCGCCATCGCTCCCACCTCGCGCGCGGCCGGGCGGAAAGGAAGGGGCAGGGCCGGACACGGAATTACGTCACAGCTCCGCGAGCGCTTCCTGCACGGCCGCGTGACGTCACGGCTCGGCCCCGCCCCGCCGGAGATCCGGAACGGGGCTGGGCCCGGCCCGGCCCTTCAGGGCCGTGCGCTCGTACCCCTGCCCCCAGGACTGCCCCTCATTGGGGGCTGCTCACCTGAGCGGGCCCCTCAGGTGCCATTCCAAATGCAGCCGCTCCCGGTGCCGCTCCCTGGGCAAGCGGTTGGACGGGATGGGCTCCGGAGGTGCCTGCCGTGCTGAACCCCTGGGGGATTCTGTGAGCAGAGCAGCCCGGAACCCCCGCGGAAACCAACACAGCGTTCCGAGCTACAGGGAGGGCCCGTGGAGGCCCCAGCGAGGATGAAGGGTCTGGGGTTTCTCTCTCAGGAGGACTCTGGAGGAACTGCTCAATCCCTACAAATATCTCAGGAGAAGGGACTCTGGAGGAGCTGCTCAATCCCTACAAATATCTCAGGAGAAGGGACTCTGGAGTCCCTGGGCCTGAGAGAGGCTCCTCAGTCCGTACCAATATCTCCAAGGAGTGGCAGAAAATGTTCCCGGACTCTTTGTAGCAGTGCCCAGCAATCGGGCAAGGAGAAATGGCCATAAACGAAAACACAAAAAATCCCACCTGAACCTGAGGAAGAATTTTCCATCAAGGGTGGCAGATGACTAGAACAGCTGCCCAGGGACATCGGGCAGTCTGTGTCTCTGGAGACATTTCAAACCCACCTGGACACATTCCTGTGCCACCTGCCCCAGGTGAGCTGCCTGAGAAGCAGGGTCAGAGCAGGTGATCTCCAGAGGGCCCTTCCAACACCACCCATGCTGTTATTCCAAAATGAGACATTTGGTTACAAACCATGTACCAAAACCAGGTTTTATTTCACAGCATCTTAATTTCACAGAAGAAAAAACAAACAAAAAAACCCAAAACAGGCTACAACTCAGACTTTTAAATAATGGAGTATGACAAAACTAGATGAGTTTTTGTTTACAGGAAATGTACAGGCTCTTCTCAAGAGAGTTCTCCGTGCTGAGCCACCCCAGCAGCACCTTCACAAAGCACCGAGCCCCCCTCGGTGTAAAGCTGTTTCTCTTCAGAGCAAGAGGAGTTTGGCTGTGCAAACGTGAACCGGCAGGTCTGGCTCTGGGTCCCGCGCTGAGTTTGTGAACGCAAGGTACTGAGAGTCCTTTGCCACATGGTGGCAGCTTTTAGGTGAAAAAAGAGAGATTCCAGCCCAGGGCTGCGAGCTGCGCTCTGGGAACGGCAAACCCGGCGGGCAGAGCAGCTGGAGCTGGGGGAGGATCCCAGCTGCAGAAGGGCTGGATGTCCCTGCACGCACACAGGTTCCTGCAAAAGCCCCAGGCTCTGGGCAGCATCACCCCAAACCCGAGCTCTGCCAGACACAGCTGGCACAGCCCTCGCTGCCCTGCGTCATCCTTGGCTTCCCAACTCGAGTGTGTGCCCGAGCCAAGGGCTAGAATAACTGTCAGACAACATTCAGCTTTCTGTAATTTAATGCTCCTTTATCCCAATTTGTTCTCCTGGAAGAAAACAAAAGCTTGCTGGTTTTATGACGTAAACCCACAGGTTCTGGGAGTGTAATTTCAGCCCAAATGGCCACTTGAACTAGACAAATTTCCACTGAATACAGACTGCAATGTGTTGCAAACCAAAGTGCGTTTTGTTCCCTCAGAAAGTTAATTTTGTTACAAAAAAGTCTTTATACACTAAATAAAGAAGTTCCCAGAGAAAGACACGTTCAGATTTCATTCATGCCAATCAAGCTGTTCTGTAAGAAATTTCTTTGCTCTGTTGTACCTCTGGCCCCTCCACAATGCCTTGGGAAGTGGTGGAGCACCTCAGCTGTCTGCACCACTGTTTGCTAATTTGGAGGCTCATTACACACTAGATGTTTAGTACATCACTATTTCTGCATGCAAGGACAGTTATATTCAGTAGAAAGTTTAACTAGTAGGCAGTTTTTTAAAACCTTTTGGAAGATATCTGGCAAGCTTATTGTCTAAGCTATTAGCTACATCTTACTTCTGGAGACTGGAAAGTCCTTCTGTGTTAGAGAAATCACAAGCATATTAAATTTTACACAAATAATTTGAAGCTACATACAGCTGAACACAGTTACAAAAGGTTTGATAGTCACTGTAATTATTATATATGAAAAATACACTTTGAGCCCCACTCTGAGAGGAAGGGGCTCCAGTAAAGTTTGCTGCAATTCTAATGAAGCCAAATTAGCTTCAGACAAAACACAGCTGAAGAGCAAGGATTCAGCTTTGGTTTTGGCTACAACCAATATTTAATACAAGGAACAGGAATTTACATTACTTACATATTGGATAACAAGTCCCTGACCTCAGCATGAGGTCTGGCAGTTTATAAATCAAACTTAAATGACAACTTTCTCAGTTGGAATAACCAAGTATCAGTTTTGTTCCTTGCAAAGGGACCCAGTAACTTGTATCAATAATATTGCTTCAGAAAATAAATCCAAGAGCCAATACCACAGAAGGTTTCATGTGTAATCAAGAATTCATTCTCAACCTGGATACTGTAAAAATAAAGGAAGGAATAAGCCAAGGGGCAGAGAAGTTATTAGAACTCAAGAGAGCTGCTGGGCACCAGCCAGTAGTGGCTGCTCAGATGTGCAAGAAATGCCAGTTTTATGAGGACCATCACAGTGATGCAACGCTTGGAAGAACAGAGAGTAAAAAATGTAGCATTTTAAATACCGAGCATGCTTTGTTTCACTGGCCTCAGTTGGCAGCAGTAACTCTACTGGCTTCATATTTGCTCAGATAAGACCATCTATAATACAGTCAATCCTAAAAAAGGTGCTTATTTCAGGCTACAGAACAGAGAAACAAATAAACCCCCTAAATTAAACATTAGACAGCAAATTGCTCTTAGTCAAGTGCTCATCTTCCACTCAAGAGTGAATTAGGATGGCAATCACTTGCCAGCTACCTCACTCAATGTGTGGTACTTCATGACAGGTTTTCAAACCAATTTTCCTTCTAAAGCAAAATGTATATTTTAAAGTTATTTATAGTAAATAAATTGAAATGGAGTAATTTCAATCTTGCTACTTATAGATCATAGAATAGATGCCCTGTATATTATTAGTGCAGATATACTGGAATTGTTTTCCTTGTATGCAAGGCCAATGCAGGTAAAGAATAAATGGCTATACAAATTCAGGATTCCCCACTAAATAACAGAACTAACTTAAAAAGCACTGGTACCAGACCAGCCAGTTTTAGGCACATCTTTAAAAAAATAAAGTATGCATTTCATTAATGTAAAAATGTGAGAAGGTTCTTAGAAACATCTGAACTTTATGGTGCACTGGAATGGAAGTGATGTTCCTTCAGTTTCAAGGAATACAATAAAGGCTTAAAACAAAACAAAATAAAAAGAACCAATACCATAGTATTCTTCATAGGGAAGAACAGTTTTAGTAAAACCAGGAAGATAAATAAGGAATAATAAGCAGCCATGACAGCTGACTGGTGAATATTTGTGCTTTAAATGTCCAAAAGAGAACAAAAGTTCAATAACTCTTCTCGTACCATGCCCCAGATTTGGCATCTGTGTCCACAGACCTCGACAGTTCCCATCACCCTGCAGCCTTCCCAACGAGCTGAGCCAGTGGCAGCTCCACAGGCAGCATCCTGGGGTGGGATCCCAGCACAGCTGGATGCTGGCTGGGAGGGAGCTTTGGTTAAGACTGTTGTGTGAGCCGTCTGTAATGAGGTAAAACTTGGTTTTCAGGGAGATACAGAGCCAGTTCCAAAGCCACGAGGACGGTGAATTCGAAACCAATGAGATCCCTTCTGTTGAATCTGAATCTCTCTTCTAGTTTCTATCACGGTGGTAACAAAACAAAACAAAGGAGGGGAGAAAGAATCAGTTAATCCAGGTGATTTCAAGGCATTGTTAGATTAAGTCTGTGATGCACAGCCTGAGCTGTATTTTCAGAATCAAACCAGCTTATCAGCTCAGCTGTGACACCCACACAACTGTTACTGCTTCTCTGGCAAACATATACAAGTGCAAAAATAACTTCACTGGAGGATCAGTAAGATACTAGCCTGCACCAGGCAGATAGTTTTAATGAATTAAAAAAAAAAACAAAGCAAGGAAGAGCCCTAATGAGACATAAAACTGGCTGAAAGAGCTGGTCTTCCATGCAAGCACATGCCACTGAAAACTTTGCATTTAATCTTTGCCTATGAGCTAGGGAGGAGGTTCTGAGAGCAGCTGAACAAGGCTCATAGCACTTACATCTATCAGGTGTTTCACTTCGTGTTTCCTGAGGTCACTGCTGATCTTGGCTGCCAGCAGAACACAAGCACCAGCGCACAGTTTGCGGTTCTGTTTGTTGAGCTTGCCTTGGAGGACGAGCTTCTCAAAGTAAACGTAAGCCATGGAGACAGTCACTGGCTCCAGACTGCACTCCTCACTCAGGTTTCTCATCTCTCTCTTTAAACTAGGAATAGGAGAAAAGACAGCCCCCCCAAACATGACAGATTTTATTAAATGCTGTAGAAATACTGGAACTCAGAGGAGCATATGGGCAAGACTCCTCTTTGGAAAACCATGACAAGTATTATCCTAGAGTGGAAAAGCCCAGCTGGTGCTGATGCACAAACTGATTTCACCTGACTGACAACATCCACTGTGGTAGAACAATTCCTCAGCTGCCCATAAACACCAGAGCTTAGCTGCCTCATTGACACACAGGCTATTGCTGTAGGATTTCTTCTGGGTTCCCAAACTGGTTTGTGATTCAGATCATAAGAGTGAACCACTCTGACCTACAGAAAACCACAGCAGAGCCCTGCAGATGACAGCAGCTGCTGCACAGAGACCTGTCTGTGGACACCTTGTGTAAGAGCCAGGTGTGAGGGGAAGGCAGCCTGCTTTGCACACTCCCCACACAGCCAGCCCTTCACCTCAGCATTCAGCAGGCTTGGAGGTGGATGGCTCCTGCCAGGGCTGCCATCCACACTGCAGCTGCACGATCTCTGCAGGAACACACTGCTCTGAACTGCTGCAAAGAGGAGCATGCAGGACTCAGGACAGAACTGCCCAAGCAAACCTTGCCCTGGAGCTGAGCTACACCCGGCCCTGGTGACTCAGCAGAATCATGTTCAAGCTGGCTATTTCAACAGGCTCTGATTGCATCAAACACCAGCAAGATTACAGCTCTCTGAAGGTGCAACAGTGCATCTTGGTGAGGAGCAACCAGATGCATTTACTCAAGGATGAGAAATTCTGTGTGGCCTCCACAAAAAGCTTTTCTTTACCAAGTCTCCCCAGATCGAACACTCTTTATCCTACAATCTTGTTAGAGTCTGTGGTCATCAGTAAGTCTGGTAATTGAAAGGCAAAAATAGCCAGAGGGCCCAGAAAGCCAATCCAGTTGGAGGGGATTGCACTGCAGCCAAGCAATCAGGTTACAAGGGTTTGTTTCAAAGCTAATGCTACTCCACTGTTAATTGGCTCCTAGTGTTAGTACACCACAGTTGGTGAAACAAAACCCTTGAGGTGGAACTTTGAAAACCAACTGTTACCCTTTCTCAGCATCCTAAAGATTCCAGTACAGGGCTGTCATCCTACAAGTCAGCTCAACTGACAACAGGAGATTAGTGTTTAATCATATATGCTATTAATAGAGTTAGTATTTGCTGCATACAAGTGCAGCCTCAGACAGTGTGGATGATGTCCTTGTTACTCAAGGCTTATTTCTTACCTCCTAATTTTGCTCAGTGTCAACTTGATATGAGGAAACTTCTCTCTAAAGGTTTCGTTCATATCCTTTTTAAGGTCTGAGGGTTTCACATACTCTATGACTGTAGTCTGAAATGCAAGAAGCAAAATTTATCATTTGTCTTGTGAACAGGACTGACAGCCAAACAACTCTTCCAAAAACACTAATGCAAAGGCAAACTTGAGTTTTATTATTCACAATTTAACATTTCTGAAATGTCCCAAAGTTGAATCCCAACTATAGACAAAGTCTTTAAAAAACAGTAAGCAAATGGTTACAAGAAGTAAATTACAACATGAAGACAGGTTGGCCTTTCACAAGCTCAGTGTACAAACTCAACTGTTTGTATTTTTCCTAATCAATTATCAGAAAAAACCACTTTTTCTTCCTCAAAAAAAGCTCTTTATAGGAGGATCTGTCAGGGAGTCTCTCCTCTTTCAGGTATGCCAGTCACTCACCATGTAGGAGGCAAAGATGAGAACACGTTTATGTTTTCCACAGGGCCACTGAGGATCATCCAGAAGATTTGGATCATACTCTGCAGCTTCTCCAGCTTCACTTCCTGAGGGAATGAGGAAAGCACATTGGGTCACCAGAAGAAGAGCTTTAAATTCCCTGTTTCCTCCTTAAGAAAGTTTTCAAATAGCAAACATTAAGTGTTGGCAGATCTCAAAGTACAGGCAAATTGCAGCTACAGGCACATGCTTGCATTTCATAAATGCCCCAGTCACAAATTAGAACAATTAAATAAACCACACAAACTCTTTCTCCACCACATACACATCATGCCTGACACACCATTTTAGATTTAGTGCAAACTGAGTTTGCATCTACAAATTTACCCAGAAAACAACTGCCCAACACTGAATTCTTCTGCCTGTCCTTTTAACAGACAGCAGAGTAGTGTCAGATTTGCTCTTTTACACAAGAGAAGGGATTCTTGGCACAAACTCTGGCTTATGCATTGTTACTGTGCTAGAAGGCAAGGAGAACCACCTGGATCCACGTACACCAGATGTTTCTTGGTGAGAAATATAAAACTTTACATTCCCAAGGAAAAGCTTTGTGCCTCCTGAATGGCATAAACAGAACTAGGTCAGATATATGGAGGCTGCAAGGAGTTTGTGGAAACCTCTGTCCTAAGGCTCATCATTTGCACTGCACTAACGAGCTGCAGCACCTCCATCCCTACAACACTGACCACCTGCAGTTGTCTCAGACAAATCTCTGCCTTTTCTGCTGTGTGCACCAGTGATGACAGAGCTGTCTGCTGTCCTTACCAATGTCTGTCCCTGCTGGTATTGTTTTTGCTGTCACAGGTTTGTATCTTGATCCAGGAAGACTCCGGGGAGCACTGGCTCGACAGGGGGGAACAGCACCGTAGGCGTCGGCTTTGCGAACAACCAGAGCGTTGGTCGGGTACAGGAATTTTGCATAGGACACAACCTGAAAGAAGAGAAAGTTGTAGTGGTTATGGAGGGAAATTTCCTGAAAAGCTCATTTCCAGACACCTAGGATTTTCCAAATCAGAGTCCCCTAGAGTCTGTGTTTGGGAGTGGGGAGCTTGGAACTGTAAGACAGGAGGAAGGGAAAAGTTGGATGAGGCGTGCCTTGTTTTCACAACTTTAAAATGAAGAGATGTAGAAGATTTGGTGGGGTGGCAAAGAAAAGGAGAGAATCACAATTAAATTCTGGCATAATAAATTTAACTAAAGCAGTATGAATTTCATCCATATTTCAAAAAGAATGTCACTCACATGTCGCCTCAGATAGCAAAGCCAACTCAATTCTCCAAAAACAGAGGCAGAAGCAATAACAAGCTTCAGCAGCCTTTTCAGAAGTAGCATTATCACAAGCCACAATTTCAAACTAGGGGTCTGCTCTGAAAAGCCACAGTTCTCACATAATGGACAGCAAAGCACTGCACAAATTGATTTGTCTCAGCATGAAATGGTCCTGGGGTGAAAAAATAAATGTCCTTACCTTGCCATCAGCACCCAGCTCTACTCCTTCCAGTCCAAGCACCATCTCAGTAGATACTGAAACTCCCCCAGAAGGATGTCGCTGTTTCTGTCCTTCCATTTTCAGATCACTAAATGCAGGTAAGAAAGAGCACTATTACAGAATGCAAGCCCAGCTTCCCATGGTAAACACCAGCCAACACCACCAGGTCAGAGTTCTCCTGTGTGGAAACAAGCCAACCCTTCCATGCCACCTCCAGGAGAGCATTAGTTTTTAACTACTCTTTTCAAAATGTGGAGATGTTCATTAACTAAAGAATCAGATTTCATTTCAGTTTAACACAAATCTACCGATCTGCCTATTGAAGGTAAACTGGTTTTAATATGATCTTTCTGCACAAGACCACACCATTCCCAACCTTCTAATGTTCAAAAACATAACAGCAAAGTTGATTTACATTACTTGTTTTCCAGGATTAGAAACCTGCCTTTCAAGAGCAAATTTGCAACCCCTGTGCACACAAGCTCAAGTTCAGAATGAAGCTTCAAGTCTCTGTGTCAACGACGGCAGCACGTGGCTTTGTCACCAATATTCCAATACAAAATCCAGTTTTCAAATGAAGAACTGCCTTGCCAGCTTGCAAGCAGAACAGCACAGTGCTCAGAACTGCTCTGAAATAGCTCCAGTGACCTTGCTGCCTTTCTATTATGTGGGAGAATATTTTCCCATCAACTATTTTTATGGCATGTATTTGCATACAATACAATTCCCACGACTAAGCATCCGTTTCCTTTGTCCATAAGTTACTGACAGGACAGAAGTGACAACACAATTGTTTTGCCAGAACAGAATTAGTGTTTTGTATGGTATATTTGTAGATAACAGACCTTCACAGAATGGACTTAAACTTCACAAGGGACTGAAGAAAGACGCAGGGAAATCCAGTTTGTGGGTTTTGTTTCTCATAAATGATCATGCTGACAGTTGTAAATAAAAATGTAGTCCAAACACTAAAAGCAGTGTGAATCAGTCTAAACTGTTTCTGGTTTTCTTAGGTTGCAAATAGTGACATTCACGGCTTAAAACTGAGAAACAGAAGAACATCTTTAACTTATTTAGGTGCAAATTCACTATGAAACCTTGAGAATTTCCACTGAAGGCAACATCACCCTTCCCTGAAACTCCCTGTGCTTTTTTCCTGACACCACTGTTGGTGGCTCTAAAGACAGTTGATTTCTGACCACTTCAGGAGTATAGAAAACCTACCCAGCAGCCAATCACATTATCTGTTCAAAGTTGATTTCAGAGATTTCACAGGACTGGAGTGCTTTAAAATGTGAATAAACACTGGAAGAAAAGTCTGCTTTTTCCAGTATTTTTCTCTTGGAGCTGGAATGAACACTTTGACGCTGTGGCAGTGTCTGATTTTACAGCAAGCTCTTGTCCTTACACATGAATGGCAGGTTGAATAGGCTCACTTGCTTCAGAACAGGAGACACCAAGCACACTCATTTCAGGAGATCTCTTGAAACAACAGAGCAGACATTTCAACATTTCCCAGAGCAGCTGAAGAGGCTCACCTGATCCGTAGCCCCTCCCCGTAAGGTAGGATAGAAAACGCCACGCACAGGGTTCGTTTGGCACAGATCAGCACTATCCTGGAGCAGATGGGGAAAGATCAGGGTATCAATTAAGATCCAGAAGTTACAAAGCAGCTTTTTATGGGGTATTAACACAGGGCTCTTCTTATCTTGCTCTGCAAGTCATAGATACTGCCATGGATTTAACATTTTCAGAAAGCAGCAGAAGAGCAGAGGTTTAACATTGACCCTGCAGGTCCTTGGGGCTCTCTATCAAACCTCAGTGTTTAGGACCTGCCATCACCTTGGGAGCAACTCAAAGGAGATCCCAGTCCTTAAATATATATATATCTATATTTATGTAATTTTTACATAAACCTTATATTCTCCATTTAGATGAAACCTCACACTTCTATTAATAATAAACATAAATGCAGCCTCCCTTTCTCTTCTGCTCAGCAACTATGAGCCAAGAATTTGGCTAAACCAAGCCATTCTCCTTAATGGCTTCTCCATTTCTTCTCCATTCTCAGCTCTGACCTCTCTGTGCCAGAGATAAAGAAAGTGAGAGAAATAAGAAAAGTGAGGGAAGAAAAGAGAGAATGATTTAACCTCCTCAGAGTAGGATGGCAGAATCATCAGTGTATTGCTGCAAATGTAGCAGATATGAGCACCTACCACTTTTGACAGAAGTCTCAATAAAGCTAACAAGGCCCCAGGGGCATCCTCTAATTCTCACTGATATTAAATGTCTCACTGCATGGAACTGGAGGCTGCTTCCTACCGCACACAAATACAGGGGGAACCTCAATCTCCACATGTTACCTGCTGTTCTTGGTGTCATACTGCCTCATGTTCTTGATGAAGTGCATCTTCTTCAAACTTTTGTGTCTTGGAGACCCAGATATATGCTTGGTTCTGCAATGATAAAAAACAAACAAAAAAAGCCAAATCTGTTAAGTGTTCTGAGAAAAATTCATGCCAGTTGTATGATCAGATGGCAGCACTAGCATGCAGGACCTCAGATATTGGCGTGGAAGAGGGTGGAGGGAGGAGAGGACTGCATGCAACGAGCTGAGGTTAATGCTGCTTTTGAAAACAAGTACCTTCGGACACTGGCATATTCCACTATGTCTTCTAAAAAGTCTAGAGAGCAGCGCTGGGAGATAAAACGCCTTCTGCAAAATGCACAACACCATGAAGAGTGAACAGCATTAGTTCATGGCCTCTGAGTTTATGAACTGCAACAGATCTATGAGCTCTTAGGATGCGTGGCAGGCTTTCTGGATTTTTGTTTTTATTGCAAGAGTGCTTAACTAAGAGTTTAAAATTCCTTAAAAGGCCAAGAACTTGTCTCCCCCTCTAGGACCCTTGAAGTACATATTTATACCAACTTCATCAACAAGACCATTCATTATCTGCCACACAGAAGAATGCCTACCTATAAGTTAAACGCCTAAAAAGCTTCCAAATACTCACTTAAAATCTGGCAAGAATGTCACAAAAGGATCCCTCCATCAAGGCAGGGGAATCAATAATTTTCTATCAATTTAAGCTCAGATACAGGTACATCTGTATGATGACCAAACATGTGTGTGCATTCTCCATTCAGAACAGCTGTCTCCAGCTCCAGGAGTCAGCAGACTGAGAGTCTGTGGCTGCAGCTCAATAAAACTGACAGATCTCTCTGAGAAACAATAGAGAGGGTTATTAGAGGAAGCAAAAAGTATTTGGCATCCATGCGAAGTCCCAGAATGGAAGATGCAAGAATAATAGTAGGGCTCACGTGAGTTAGTGTAACAGTAATAGGATATTACGTTCAAGCAAAAAAAAAACAGACTTTGCCAAAGTAAGATGCATTACTATTGTCCAAGTCAAGTCTTTCTTTGTTGGTAGAGATTTACAAATGAATTGTGCAACTCTGACTGCAATTTCTATAGGAACAATGCACTCTGCCAGCAAAAAGCTGACACTACAACTATCAGAGTTTGTATTTTCTGCCTTTGTTTGAGCACGCATTATGCTACACTTCCAGCACAAGCCATGTGCGCTCAAGCCCAAGGTTCTCCTCCCAAGTAAGACAGGAACTCAACTAATGGGCAGTGCTGCCATGGAACTCAATGCAGAAGCAGCACAACAAGACAAAAGTCACAGGACTCTGGTTTGACAAGACCAGCTTCTGGAAAAACAAAATAAAAAAACAAAATAAAAAAACAAAAAAAATTAAACCTCAAGCTGCAGCAGAGCAGACTCTCAGCTGCACTGTTCAGGCACTCTTAAAAGGAAGTAAAGCTCAGAACTCAAACAGGTAGGAGGATGAAAAATTAAGTGTCCCTTTCTGCAAACACAAGGGAGACAAGCACTCCCACAGGACTAACACCTTCAGTATTGCTAGAGACTGCCTCCTACAAATCCACAGCCATTAAGGTGCAACTGGAGAACATTCCTGGCACAGCTTCAACACCCTCCACCAGCACTTCAGTGTTAAAATTATTACTGGTTTGCTGCTTTTCAGCAAGAATGGCACAGGAACGTTTAACACTTTCACATTTACACAGCTCTCCAGTCTAATCTAGCATCTAAAGTTCAATAAAAAACCCTTGATGAGATGAGGAAGTAACTGCAAACCTCCTGGCTCTAAAGCAGTTGGTAACATCCACAACCTTCCTCCCCTCCCAGGGGAGACCTGGCTGGATGGAGACAGAAAGACGCCGTGTACGGCAAGCAGAGGGAAAACACAGCTAATGCCAGTGGGCACTGGTACAAAAAAAGCACACAGTTCTGTTCAAGGATGCTTGGTGTGAGTAACAGGATGGATTGGGACAGCCATGGCTAGATCCTAACTCCTAACTCCATGGTGGAGGCTCAGCCAGGGTGCTACACCTTCTGAACACCCCCTTGTTTTCTCAGGAACAGGGACAAGAGTGCCAAACACCTGAACCGAGAGCAGATCTGGAAGTAAAACCGTGCTGCAGCGAGGGGAAGATCCCACCCCTTGACTCAGAACCACAATGACTCATCCCCACTCTGCCAACAGGAAACTTCATTTTTAGCTACACTTGTAAATAATTTCTGCCCTCAGTGAAGCTGTCACCTTGGAGGAATCCCTGACACTGAGCCAGACGCTCTCCCTCAAATCCCAAAACGGGGTGTATGTAAAGAATTCTCACTAACCCAGAGTACCTGAAACAGTTTCTAGGCCCAGCTCAACACCTTCCAGCAACACAGCACCCTCAGCACGTTCTGAGAGTCACTAGTGCAGTACTTAGAGAATGCACCAAATTCTGACACTTTTTGAGCAATCTGCACTTATAAATATGCACACACACATATATTTGCTTTAGTTTGAGTGCTCTTCTCATGCAGCCAGCTCACACTTGCACAACAGGCTGCACTGGGTCACTCCAGTGACTGCTAACTTTGATGACAAAAAAATGTCAAGTCACCTATGCTGTGCTAAGCAGCTTCACCCAGGATCCACTTCTTGCTCTGGTCCATGGAATTCAAAGGATTTTAAGTGGTTTACACAGTGTGTTCGTTGCTGGAAGCAACCTAAATACTAAGAATACCAACATCTCTACAAATACTGAGTTAGTTATGTAGCCTTACCCATTTGTGACCTGGCAATTTGCAATTGAAATACCCAATATTAAAATGTTCATGGGTTCCATGGAGCAGGCTGTAATTCCAACAGAAAGTCCAAACGTGCCTGTTTGCCAGCACCAGCCACTGCTGTGACAAGCTGTAGAGGGTTTGGGTGCTTGCATGTCCCTGACCAGGAACTCATTTTTGGGTGCTTCCCAGCCTTTTATTTCAGGAGCCAATAAAGCCAAAGCAGGACACTCCCAGATCATTAAAACAGCAACTGTGTTTACAGAGCCAGAACCTCGAGGGGACCCATCAAGAGCAAAAACACACAGAGCCCATGCCCAGAGATAACGGGCTATCAAGCAGAGGAATTCTAGATTACGCCTTGGCTCCTTATCTCCATGTGCACACCCGGGCTCACACAATCCAACACTGCTGCCAAATCCCTGACCAGCTGAACATGCACTTAAAAAAGCCCACAAAACCCCCTTGTGTTCGGGAAAATACCCAACAAATTATCTTCAGAGCTACATTTTGACTCCTGCCCAGGGAAGCAGTAGCCAGCCCCTACATTTGTTCTTCCTGATGGATCTCTCACTGAGAAAACTCAATGTTTGAGTGCTTCCAGCTTCAGAGCTGTCCTCTCTTGGTCCTGACTGAAACCCTCTGCAGAGGCTGGACACTGGATAAGCAGCAGTGGGATGCCCAGCCCTGAGGGTGACACAGCTCTGCAGTGCTCCCAGCAGGACAGGACACAGCTAAGAGCAATCTATGTATAGCAATGGTAATCCCTACATGTCCTGTCTGATGAATGGAAAGAAGAAAGCTTGTTAAGTCACAGCTCCAGATTAGGGAACACTGACCTTTCTGCTGGCTTGCCAAGTGTTTTCTCCCTCCTCCCACTTGCACTGGGCTACCTGCAGACACCCAGGAGGACAAAGATGTTCCTGCAGTTGGAAGTGTGCAAGTTCTTCAGCAGGTACTGAATGCAAGGGATGCTGGCCTTGTGCTGTCAGATGTGGCTTGAGGCACAGAAAAGCCTTGTCCACTCCTGCTGCTGGGCCACTAACAGTCCTCTAAGGCACTCCCTTGGGCAGCATGGCCCTACTCTGCACTCACAAATTCTGCAACAAACAGCCCTCACAAATCCTCTTTTAACCCCTTAAAGTGGGGCCTTAACCCCGGGCCTGACAGTGGCCAGTGGTGCAGTTGCCATTTGCCCACTTTGAAGCTCCTTTCCATTTTGTCCTTCTGGCTCCTACATTTCTGCCACAGCAGGTGAACTGACCAGCTGGCCTCCTGAAGGGTCAAACTGAAAGCTTCTAAAATCTCACAGTGGTTCTCCCCCAGGCTGATGAACCCCCATCCCTCTCAGGGACATCCCTCCCCAGACAGCCACAGTTCAACCAACATTCAGACATTTCCACCAACACAGCACCCTGAGTTCATCCTACGCTGTGATCTCTTGTTCTCATCACCCCCAGGATCACCAAGCCCTGCATCAGGACTGTTCAAAGATGCTGCCAAAGCTGCCCATTCTCCAAGGGCCCAGCAGTGTGGATTTGTTTCCATTGGAGCTGCATCCATGGCCCTGCAGATGCTGCATGCACGCACAGGCACACACCCCAGGCACTGGGCTAAAATTAGCAGCAGGGCTGATACCCTCTGCTGCTCTTTAGCCATCCATACTGCCAGCAGATGAGTGGAATGGGGGAGGTCAAGGATTTTTAATTACTGTGCAAAATTAGGGCCTAATAGAATTCGGTTTCCTATTTCTCACTCGAGTTTTATTTTAATATGATGTCCCTTTCTAATGTCCTTTACAGGCCTCAGTATGATCACATTTGTCAAGAGGTTGAGTTATTAATATAACAAGGACAAAAAATAATTTACTGGTTTTTGGAAGCACTAGCTTAAAAACAACTGTCAAAGGTAATTTGCACAAGAAATCCAGATCCCAAATCCTGTTTACAACAGGCAGACATACCTGTCAGCTTTGTTTTTCCAAGATATATTTTAAAGATTAAGTTGTATTGTTTTCATTCCTTAAGGCAAGACAACAAACAGATATGAACTGTGCTTGGGCTTCACTCGGTAAAATCCAGGCATTGGGGGATTAAGAAAGCTACTCCTTGTATTTGAGCTTACTTTTTAGCAGGTGCCATTTCTCCTGCAGCCCAGGAGACATTCAGGGATTTCAGAGTGTGTGAGTGGGAGCATCCCTGTTCTGCTATCAGTGCCCTGTGCCTCACCACCCTCGGCGCTCACACTAATGAGTTTCCTGCTCAAGAGCAGATTGAGTACAGCTCACTGGGAGCAACAAGCTCTCAGTAATTAAAGCCAAAAGAAACCCAGACTGCATTTACACTGAATCACATCAAACCCATGTCTTTGGTAAAACAAATGACTTCTCAAAGGATCTGTGTCATGAAGAGCCCAGCATTGAGCAGGCCATTTTCATGGCTGGATGGTTTCAGCTCAGATGCTCCTTGAGAGGCAGAGAAGAAAGAGACTTTGCATCACCAAGAGTATGTGCACAGCTCAGTGCTCCTTCCTCACAAAGTCAGCTCTCGCTGTTTTATGGCACCACAAACATGCATTTGGATTGCAGGCCTGTCCCAGGAGCTTTCTGACATTTAAGTACCAGCTTGCCAGACAATAAATACAAGTCTCACAGCAGGGCTAGTTTAACTTATTCATTTTAATCTTCATTTTAAAGGATGAACTGAAACCAGCCACATGAGTATGAAAAATACTTTTAGGCTACAGAGCAGGTCCCTCTGTGAGAGCCCAGGATGAAGGAGGAGGCCCAACTCCTTCAGCTTTGTGTTCCTACTCAAGGTTTGCTTGCAAAATTGAAAGGGCACCAGGGGCTTTCCTGCTGGTCCCAAACAGCCAGGAGAAAATCCTGCACTCCTCCACCAGTAAAGCCACATGCAAGGCAAGAATGTGTCACACAGCCCGTGGAACAGATGAGAATGAGCAGAAATGAAGTGTAATTTGAATGAAGGTGGAGGCCGAGTAAGTGGGAAGCTCACTAAGCCTGGAGAGTTTTAAATACTAATAGGGAAAGAAATTAGATAATCTTCACAGCAGCTGCTACTTCATTGCTGATTCACAACCACATATGATTAAGACCCAATAGAGAATGAGCTTTATATTCATTGAGTTTCATAAATCACATTGTTTTGGTGCTCAGAGTGTTTAGACAATACAAGGAGAAAATAATGCCTTCCAGTAAGCATTGTGAAAGCCCAGCTGTTGCAACAGAACCACCAAACCAGATGTAAAGTTTGCTGTGCCCACAGCCCTCTCCTAAAGCTCACTCCTAAAATCCCTGCTGCTGCTCACAAAGCATTCACCACCAGCATTTCTCCAAATTTCTCCCAGTTTTGAAGGTGTTCATAGCTCACCAAGCTGGCTGCCCCCTGTGCTTTGTGCTCTGCTTACTCAGCACTGCACTGCTGACCAAAACAGGCACGTGAAATGCAGAGCGTGTCCTTGATGACACTCTGGGCATTATGCTAGAAATATTCATGCACTTCACTGAGAGATGATGCTGTCATTTCATCATGTGCCTTGCTAAATAAAAGCCTTCAGCACAATAAACTCCCAAGCTGAAAAAAAAAAGGGAGAAGAAAAAAAGAAAGAGAAAGAGAGAAGCTCTTAACTGGGAAGGAGAAAATTAAAACTGGTGACTGGAGGAAACCAAATCAAAGTGAGTTTAAAGAGGTCCCACAGTGTTTTTATGGGCACCTGGTTTTTTCCATTTCATTAGCCATTCCCTTCAATGCACAGCCAAGAGGGTGCAGCTTTACTAGGACAAAATTTTATGCTTAAACTGCAGCAGCCACAATAGAGCAAGGGCAAATCCATCCTTGCTGTTGAGCAAGCAGCCCTGACCAGCAGCAGTTCAGCCCACGCTGTGGGGACCCCAAACTGAACCAGCTGGCCAGGTCTGCACTTGGTACCACCACCTGAGCAAGAGCAGGCACGAGAGGAGCACTCCCTGGAGAAGAGCTCCAGGATCACAACCTCAGCAATGGGGTCAGCTGGCAGCAAGCTTTGAGTTTTAAGGGCTTGGCATGTCTTGTGAAACAGAGGGCCAGCTTAAAGCTCTTCCTTTAACACCTTTTCAGGAAATAGGTAAATTCCTCTTACAGTAGATTACAGTAACTCCAGGTGAATTCCTGTTACAGTAGGTTAAATACACAACAGCTGTAAACCAAAGGTCAGCAGTTTGGAGCTCTGTCTGAAGAACTGGGTTGCCTGAGTGGCTTTAGCAGAGCACCTTCCACCTGCAGTCACCTGCTCTATCAGCAATACCTTGTGCTCATTAAAGAGCCTAAATTTCATTGTGCATTTTTAAAACTCCAACTACAGAGCCAGACACCTTCAGAACAACCTTCAAAAGAAGGCTCAAAAATATCTTCAAGCTCGCTCAGCCTGACAGCCTCACAGCTTTAACTGGTTGACAGATGGAAAATAGGAGAACACAGTATTTAATATACCATATATCTAATATACTATATATAACTAAATCATTACTTTTAATATTCTATTCTGTAAGACTCCTATAGGACTTCCTCACTGGAGGTTTGAATGGGATTCCCAAAATTAAGTTATTCTGGTTTTTATATTTAATTTGGTAGCATTTTCATTCTTGGCTGATGAGTCTTTGACTTGAAGCAAGACAACATCATTCTGACTACCCTCATCACCTCCTGCAGAAAGGAGCTCTGAGCTGGAATCCCCAAACCTGCAGCATCCTGAAATCCACGGCCAGGCCTTCTGTATCACTCTGAAAAGCTGCAGAATCCATCCACAGGTAAAATCAGCTGCAAGTGCAGATAATTGTGCACAGACTACTCCTGCCTGGAGAGCAAAGATCTCTTTAAAGCCTCTGGACTGTGTAAATTGAAGAGGTCAAATGACCTTGGTGTTGGAAGTGTCTCGGATTGCCTGACCCAGACCCATTCACAGGAGTGCACAGGATACAAGGACTTGGATGTTCTGATCTCCAAGTTTCCTGCTAGGCATACAACTCACTTCTTCTGCTTAATTTATCTGGCTGGGAATGTCCACAGGCAGCTATAAAACACTTAATAGTGGACACATGTAATTCACCTGCAGTCGAGGATATGAGAGAAATCTGCTGAAGCAACCTAGGGAGGGAACTGCAGCCTTAACATTCCAGCTGACTTTTAAATGAAGTTCAGGCTTAGAATATGCTCATTTTGAGCCTCAAGCAGCACATCCCAGTCTGCTGTTCACCTCTGAAAGGTCAAAGCTTGTCATCTTTGACAGAGCTCACTGCTTCCTGAAAGGCACCATGGGCCCGGCTTGTTCCAAATTTGGTTCAAAATTTAAACTCAGACTTTTTATTTCATCCATCTTAACAATTTCTGTTTATTAGCAGAGGGGTTTTTATAAAAATATTTATATTCCTTGAAGTGACAACAGCAGCCAAGCTGACAGTAGGACAAAACACATTAACAACCATAAGTATAAAATCCTGACAAAGCACTTTTGCTTTTGCTGTTCCACCCACAAAACTAATCTGATCACACCTATGTCAGCAATCTGCTATCCAATTAACACTCAAAAGCAGAGTAGGTCCAGAGTGTTGCTGTTATCAACTACTGTTTAAACTCCCACTTTCAAAATGACCTAAATTTGCTGATAAATCAGAAATGACTGAGCTATCACAAACACTCAGTTCAGCTCCCTGACCACTGAACTCCAAGGACATTAAAGCATCAGTCACAAATAATTTAGTCTCTGTGTTTATTCTTAGGCCCAGCAAAATGCAGCAAATTATGGCAAAACCAGCTGCTTTTACATTAGGCTATAATGAAACCTCAGAAGCACAACAAGCATTGACATCCAGGGCTGTTGTTTCCATTTTTCATGCTTTCATAACCTGGCTATTTCCAGGGCTCTCTGCTATCTGTGTTTCCCCAGAAAGCTCTGCCAGTTTCAGACCCAGCTGCAGAAATTCATTAGAAATCTGTGAATGCCGATTTGTTCCCTGTTTGCTGCCTCCCTCCACTGCTTTCTGTGAGGCTCGTTCTCTGAAAGAACAAAAGAACAGAGCAAGATGGAAAAGGAGAAGGGAAGAGGGATGGCAAGCAGAGCAGGCAAGCTGGTATAACACAGCATTGTAATTTAAGATCCTGTAAACAGAAGATT